TGAGGCTCATGTGTCTATATTCCAATTTTGCTTGAGAAAATTGGACATTAGAGTGATTAGAGTATCTGCAGCAGCTAACTTGCTGGATGATTCTGGACCCTCTTCATTCCCTTTGGCTAGCATCTAAAGTATCTGTTGATACTACTCCTTGGTGAAGAAAGGAGTAGCAGGACTATTATTAGGAATAGGCTGGGAAAATTGAGGCATGTAAGCATTCTGAACCTGCTGTATTCCTGGCTGAGTTCCATAAGCACCTTGTTGGTTCCCAGTTTCAGTAGCACTTGGAAACATCAAACCACTCACATTATTTGCATACACTCCAGTGTTCTGTTCTTTCTTCTTTCTCTTGAAGTTTGAGGGATAGCCATGAAGTTTGTAGCAATTCTCCTTTGTGTGCCACTTATAATGACAGTAGTTACACTGCACTTGGTTCTTTCTGAACTTGAAATTTTCACCTGCACTTGTTGAGTTTTTATTACTATAGAACATTGCTCCTTCTATGCCTTCAGTAGGTTGACTGATCTGAGTGAAGTTAGCCAGACTCCTTTGTCTTTCTTGATCAATCAATAGTGAGTTAGCTTTTTTAATACTAGGGATTGAATACATCATCATAACTTGACTCCTTGACTGTGAGCAGGACTCATTTAATCCCATCAGAAATTGCAGTAGCCTGTGATACTCAAAATGTTGGGCATATTTCTTTGATTCAGGACAAGGACAACCAGGACAAGGCATTATTGCATCAAACTCATCCCAAAGGTCTCTCAGCTTGGAGAAGTAGTTAGCAACAAACATTGTGCCTTGAGTGAGGTTATGAATTTCTCTACTGAGATACAGAATCCTAGATCCATTCACTTTGTCAAATCTCTCCTTTAAGTCTTCCCAAACCTTATGAGCATTAGAGACATATACTACACTACTAAGTAACCCTGGCTTTACTGCATTCATCATCTATGAGAGAACTACATCATTCACTTTGTTCCACTGATCATGAAGTTCAGACTCAAACTTAGACTTAGGGAATCGGCCATCTACAAAGCCTAAATTACTCTTCCCTAATAAACCAATCCTCATAGATCTACTCCATATTGCGTAGTTATCTGAACCAGTAAGTTGAAGAGAGATCAGAATGCTACCTGGAGTGTCTGTTGGTTGAAGGAAGAGTAGATAATTGTGATCAATTGACGGAAATACAGTTGTGCCAACTGCACCTGCTGCATTGTTGACATTATGAGTAGTTGTTTCTTCTCCAATCGCCATTTTTCAGAAGCTTCTTCAAGGGTAAACCCTAGGTTTTCAGCTACACGCTACAATTGAACCATTTCCCACAGAATTGTGAAATTGAGGTAGCGAGAGTAAGAACCATCTTGAGAGACATCTTCGATTCACTCCAGTGGCTCTGATACCATGTTAGCTGCCATGGATCTAGAGATCAAGCTTGAAGAAGAAGACATGCAAATAAACCCACACTTGAGAGAAACATATCTCTTTTCTTAGAAGAAGAAAGACAAAATGATACTAGCGTATCTTTTACAGAGTGTACAATACATTTTTATATCTACAGTATAACTAACTTCTACTTACTGTACTAACTAACTAACTAACTAACTGTAGTTACATAATTAACTTATCAGCTTGGTTAACTAACTCTAGTCAACATATGTAGGGTAAGGCTGTATACTATAGACCTTGTGGTCCGACTCCTCCCCTGACCCCACATAGTGGGAGCTTAGTGCACTGGGCTACCCTTTATATGAATATAATAAAATCACACTCATTCTGAATCCACTAAATATTAACTCGACTAACATTTTCCACTTTTTTTTCCTCCAAATTAAATTTGGAAAAATATAATCATGAAGGATCATAGATCTACATGATAACGGTTTAGAGCGCGTTTGGACATTAAAAAAATTCATTTTTTTCGAATAAATTCACATTCTTTCGAAATCAGTGTTTGGCCATAAAATTTTCAATTTTCACTTGAAGATAAATTTTGAAATTTTTCAAAAATTTGAAAAACTCCAAAAAAGTTGTTTTTCAAAATTTTCAATCAGATTACTCACAAAACTTCAAAAACAACCCAAAATTATATTAATGTCCAAACACAACTCTAATTTTCAAATACTATTTTCATTTGAATTTTTTTCACTTTTTTTTGAAATTTTATAATTCTTATGTCCAAAAGCTCATTTAAGGAATGAACGTTAGGTGATTTTTTCCATCTTTTTGGATTTCGGGGGCTAGATTAATGATCTCATATCTTTGTTGATGGAAGGTAGTAAATATCAAATAAATTAGTCGAGGTGTATGCAAGATGGTCTATAATCGTATTATTATGTATTAACAAAGGAATTCTATGAATGGATTTGACAAGCTAAATGTAGTTATATAATTGGTTGACTTTTTCTGGGGCGGCAAAGTGACTTTGACTTTAAGTGATTTTTGTTGTTCTAATTAAGCTATTCCCCCATGCAAAGCATATAAATAAGCTTTAGCTCTTCATCTAATTAACACACTGAAATCTGCAAAAATCATATATTTTTCCCTATAATCTCTATTTTTTCAATGGCTATTGAAATAAACTTTCCTCTTTCTTTGTCCATAGTCTTTTTCATACTAGCCTTTTTTCTTCTATTGAGACATTACAAAATTGGCCACCAAACAACAAACGACAACAACAATCACCCAGTATAATCTCACAAGTGGGGTCTGAGGAGGGTAGAATGTACGCATTCTTATCCCTACCCTAGGTAAAGAGACTATTTACGATAGAACCTTGGCTAAAGAAGATCAAAGAAGCCCAGATAGCAAGTAATAGTAAGACAAATAATTAGAAAACTAAATCGAAGATAGCAACAAAGAATATGAAGGAGGTACCGGTAACAAGTAGTAATAGCAAGACAACATATTTAGAAAACTAAATCCAAGGCAGCAAACGAGAATATGAACGAAGTACTGCTAGCAAACTACAGAATTATCGATGACAAGTAATAATGGTGGCCACAAGTTCAACAACAAGAAAAATAAGCTTCCACCAGGAGAAATGGGACTTCTCTGGATTGGAGAAACTCTACAATTCTACAAATCACAAAAAAAGAACGAAGTATATGAAGAATTTATTCAACCCTGAGTCAAAAATATGGAAAAATCTTCAAAACAAGAATGATGAGATCAAATATGGTTGTTGTCAATGGAGCTGAAGCTAATAAGTTCTTATTGTATAATGAATTCCAGTTGTTTATAAGTTCATGGCCTATCTTTACAGTGCAACTTGTGGGCAAAAATTCCATAATGGAAAAGCAAGGAAATACACATAAATTCTTTCGTGGGATTATACCCTCAAGTCTTGGGTTTTTAAGCCTAGAAACTAGTAAAACTAGCAGGGGCTAGCGAGTTTTTGGACTGGTCAGTGAAAAATAGCCAGCGTTTCCAAAGTTACTGAAAAATAGCCATTATTTTGCTGCAACACGGAAAGTTCCAACATAAAATACTGGAGATCGGCGCACCTGTGTATGAACTTCCAGCATAGTATGCTAGAACTCCATCACGCAAAAAGTCCCCCATAATATATACTGAAGATTGGAGCACCTGTGTATGAACTTTCAGGTATTTGGCATTCAATGTTGTGTTTGAGTGTTTGATTGGAATTGATGTCTAAAAAGGACTAATTGACACATTTGAGAGAGTCTTGGGAGGTGTTGTTTCACCACCATTTAAGTTTCCAGGGTCAAAATATTCAAGAGCAATAAGTGCAAGATTGGAAATACAGAAAATAATTCTTGAAATTGTGAGAAAAAAGAAAAGAGAAATAGAAGAACAAGGAAAAGAAGGAAAGTTAGAAGAGACATTACTTTCTAAATTAGTGACAGCAATTATTCATGGGTGAGATAAGTGAAGAAGAGGNTAGTGACAGCAATTATTCACGGGTGAGATAAGTGAAGAAGAGGTTGTTGATAATGTTGTTTTGCTAGTATTTGCAGCACATGATACGACGTCGTTTGTCGTTGCCATCCCAGCTGCTACGCGCTTCTCCTTCAAGGTACGTAACGTTAGAGAAAGCATACTTTTAATTACTTAATTATATTAATAAATACGTGGAAATACTTTTGCTTCTTGGTTGAATCGTGTGACAATCTTATCTGATAAGTTATATCTGATAAGTACGTAACTAGATTCCCTTAGATTTTTGTTCTGATGTCATGTTGAATCGTGTGACAATCTTATTTGATAAGTTAAGTTGTTAGCGAGAGCATACTTTTAATTACTTAATTATGTTGTATGTTTTAGAACATGTCGAAATCACGAACAAGAAAAGACCAGGTGAAATCTTGTCATTGGAAGACACCAAGAAGATGAAATATACAAGGCAAGTTGTTTAGGAAAGCATGAGGTTGTTCCCTCCAATCTTTGGTTCATTCAGAAAAGCAATTGTTGACATTGAATATGAAGGATTTACAATTCCAAAAGGGTGGAAAGTAAGAATTAAGGATATTATTTAACTAACAATACACTAACATTATAAGATATTTTTATACTATAAGCGTTTAGAAGGAGAGTCTTAGAGCAACGGTAAAGTTGTCTTCATATGACCAATAGGTCAAGGTAGTGGTGGATCCACGATTTATAGGTCGTAGGTGGTTCAATTATTTTAGTGTAAATTCTAAATGGTAAAACATAATCATAGTGGGTGCTCATGGTTAATTATCAACTTTTTAGATATTATCTATGAATATATTGCATAATTTCGCCAAATCCTTCCAAAGGTAGATCCGCCACTGCATCACGAGTTCGAGTCGTGGAATCAGCCACTAACGCTCGCATCAAAGTAGTCTGCCTACATCACACCCCTTGGAGGTACCAGTGGCGTACGCAGAATTTTTATAAGCGGTGTCACTATTTAACAGAGTGAACAATTGAATAAATTATTGTAATATAATATATCATATTATAAAAAGACAACTTAAATTATATTAACGAAACACAATTCAAGCACGTAACTACAATTCTCCTCGACGAGTTTTCATGTTTTGAAATGTATTCATAATAGCCTCATTAGAAATATTACTAAATAATTCTTTTTCTATATAAGGCACCAAACAACCACTCAAAAGCTCATCATCCATTCGATTACGCAAGTCAGTCTTAATCAACTTCATTGCTGAGAAAGCTCTTTCAACCGTAGCCGTAGCAACTGGCAAAAGTAAAGCAAATTTTACTAGCCGAAACACAAGAGGATAAGTCTCATGCTTCTTTGTCTCTACTAGTTTCTTAGAAAGATCACCAAGCCCCTTAAGATCGAAAAACCTTTTGTCATGATCTCTGACATCAACAATGTAATTCTCAAGCTGAAAATGAAGGTCAACTATAGAATATTTATCAAAATCATCAGGATATAGCTTCACTAATCTCAATATCTTATCAATGTCAAAAACTTGAAAAACGTTAACTGGGTTCAAGTAAGCAACTCCAAGAAGCAATTCAGTTGTCACCTCATCAAAGCGGTTATTGAGTTCTTGAAATTGCCAATCAATAATTTTACATAATACTACAGCATGGTAGTGATGAAAAAAATTGCACTCTGCAACTCTACGACGTGATATTCCAAGGATAACATAAGGTTCATCAAAGTTAGGTATCAATATGTCGTATTTGATACAAAACTTAGATACCTCATCAATAAGTGAAGCCCAACCTTTCTCTCTTAGAAGTTGCAATCGATCTTTTGCCACTCTAACAAGTATCATAGCATTTGCAATATCTTGCTCCTTCTTTTGAAAGGCAACATTAAGCTCATTTGTGATTGCTAAAATAGTGCACATAAAATGCAACATGAAGACAATCTCAAATGTTAAATGTAAGCACGTGATTTTTGCTTCACGGACAATCACTCCAAAAAGAAATCAAAAATAATGGCAAATGGCCTCGCTGTACAATTTTTCGATTTTTACGTGACACGTGTTGGTAGTCATTTGTGGTTCTGCCCATTTTTCGTTTAATCTTATCAAACAAAATACAAAATATGTATGTCATTAAACCATAATTCGGTCATTAAAAGAAAATTCAAAAAATATATATATGCATCTTTTATTCTAGGTTGGGATTTAACCTACTTAAATATTTCCATATGTGTGTGATAATTATGTTAAAGTGTTACAATATTGGTTGTTTTAATTTCATTTTTTT